AATCGTATTTCAGGGACTCTAGATTTCAAAAATTTTCCGGGGGGGCATGCCCCCGGACCCCCCTAGAAGTGTCTCGCGCCTTCACCGCTCGAAAATCCACCCCACTTTTAAAAGGCTGGCGCCGCCACTGATCCGAATATCCAGTGGGCAGGAAAGAACTCGTGCAATGGATCAAAGAGGTAAAGAAAAAGTCCGTGTTTGAACACAAATTGATGGTATATACGTGCCAACACTGTCCAGAATTTTCGACATATCTTTTTCGTTCTTTTCATTAGTAGCTAGGTTTACCTTTAAACGGATGACATTACTGAAGGTGTAGAGGAACATCAATTGCCCTAGTGCATATCATCGCGTAGAAATAGTGGTATTTGTACTTCATCTTCACTACGCTAGTCATTATTAATCCATCTCAAGTTTCATTACTAACCCATCTCAGTCCTTGGACTGGATCAAAATTAATTCACCTCGCTTTAAGTAGTGATTCATTCGTATGAGAAGTCATTTCGATCAAATCCTACAAATCGAACTGGTCTAAATTTCAAGTCCTCACATGTTGATCAAATTGCGCGGACCTGAAATCGTGTCCAGTCTTCATAGTTGGATTTGAAATGTTACATATAATTGAGGATACTAGTATGTGGTAAGCAAGTCAAATGCAACAATATGTAGAATTTCGCCTGCCATTTTAAGTTTCACTTGGCAGTTCAAATTATTTTCACCTCAGCCATTTCTAGCCATATGGCCTGCTTTTGGCCGTTGGCAAGCTGCTATTTCTAGACGATAATTACGATATGATTTTTAAGTATATAGCCTAGCTTAATACCGTCATCAGTTAGAGCTAATATATACTCTGAAATTATTCTAGTGATAGAAAAGGTAAAATAAAACCATTTTTGCGACATAAACTGTAACACATATATTTTTGTTCCGTTTTAGGGTAAAATAAAGATAAAGGAACACATCACAAATGGCTTTGAAAATCTTCCAAAGGCATTGATTGAATTGTTTACCGAAAGCAACTTTGGAAAAGCCGTTGTAATAGTTTCAAGTTCATAGATCTCGTTACCTTGATAATTATTATGCATTGTTATACTGATAATTACTGATAATCCAATGATAATCTTAAAGTGATCCCGACCGATAATATTGATGATACTGATAAATGATTTATAGTTTTTTACAATATGTGATTTAACAGACAAACAATGAACAGATACAATAATAGATCATATCAAAATAATTTAAATTTTTTTTTTATTAATAAAGTAACGTTTAATTCGCATTTTCTTTGCTAATGTTTTTGTTGCTACCTCGAGTTTCATGCCGTAAAGGCATGGTCATGGTCACAGAATAGATACTAGACCTCCTATGTGTTTTGGCTTGGGAAAATCGTCCGAAATTTTTTACGTGCTATGACGCCATCCTGGAGTGCACACGGCCACAGAGAAGAGACATACAGAGCTGTAACTGACCGGCGTAAACACTGCGGAGCTTACGTTTTCGTGTACCCACTTTTTTCAGGCGACCAGGCAAAAAATGATCAACTGCGCGTGCTCGGCAAGTTCTGCGAGCAGTTAAAGCAAGTCGTCATCCAATTTCATCCAATAGGATTCGTCCATCTAGTAACTTGCCGAGCAGGCGAACAAAAAAAGTGGGTACACTAGTTATAACTCTGTATTTGTATCTACTCTGTGACACGGCACTTTGTACTATATGTTTGTACCTATGAAAAACTTCCGTTGCACTCCAGAATGGCGTCATCAGTGATGGCGTATTTTCACGTCAGCATGCACGTAAACATTTCGGACGAAATATCATCTGAGTGACACTTCTGGTCTAGTATCTATTCTGTGGTCAGGTCGTTGTTCGCTGACGATACTCCTGGCTTGCTGACGCATGTACATAATTTCATAATTTGCGCGCGTGTATATATAATGTTACGCGCGGTCGTAATTTCCCCCACTTGGCACTTTGAGAAAATCTCGGATCTTGAATTTAGCACGAGTTTCTTTTTTGCTTTCAAAATGCATAGTTTCTCTTGGGTGCACAAGCTACACTGCTTTCCACCGCTTGAATACGGCGCGGCATGTTTTAAAATTGACCAGGTTAAAGTGAAAGGTCGTCCGCTTTGTTTTTGCTTCCAAATGTATTTAGACAGTTCCGTCTCATTCTTGTAAGTAGCGTTCGTAAATGATTTTTTGTGGTTTCTATAACGTTCTTTAAAAGAATTTGCAGTCATCTCGACGTAATGTTTAATTTCTCCGTTATATCTCGTTGTGACTTCAGCTTGATAAACAAGGTTGCTTTCCAGGCAATGCTTTTCGAGTGGGCATTCGTTCTCTTTTCTGCAGTTGCATTTCTTTTCAGGTATGGCTCTGGCTGTTGTGTCAGGAGTGTTTGTAGCTTTTGTTGCCTTCGAGAGAATACGGTGCATGGTTGTGACTAGAAACGGCGCTTTTTACATTTTCTATGCAAGAGTAACTCACTTTGATTGTATTGCGGTTGAAGATATTGTGGAGCCTGCTCGATGTCGGAAAATGCTTGTCAGTGAGCTGTAAGAAGTTCTTAGCTACGTTCGTCTTTACATTCTTGCTGTAAGGTGGGTTGAACCATATGATCTTTCGTTAGCGATTTCTTCTTGGTTTGCTGGTCGCGTTGATGTTGGGAACGTAGTTGAGATTAGCGTCGTAATTACTCCGGTGGAGCCCAAAACTATCGTTGAAGAATCTTGCTGCATCAGTCGAAGCGGAATGTTCTTTGGATCAAAGAAGCGCAAAAATCGTTGCAACAACACTTTGAGAAAGGAAAGTTTAGTCGACTTTGCGCACGAAAGAGAGAAGATGGAATAATCGTAGTTGGTGGGAGAATCCCAAAGTCGTGTGAATCTAGTTACGATGAACAAGAATTGATCCTGATGCTTTGATCATCGAGTGTCTCGTTTGTACGCGGAACGTGTCCAAAGTAGAGGACACAACGGAGTATCCACCACTATGAGCAAGATTCGAACCCGCTTCTGGATCCTGAAGCTGCGCAAGATGGCTAGGGCTATCAGAGAGCAATGTGTCATCTGTCGTAAAAAGCAGAAGATTTTGGAAAGTCAAGTGATGGGAACTTTACCGAAAGAACGTGTGACCCCAGCACCACCGTGGCGGTCAACTGCATAAGGCGTATGCTGTGCTCTTCAACTGCATGGCTAGCAGAGCTGTTCATGTGGACATAGCAACGGACTACAGTATGGAAGGTTACCTAATGATTCTCCGAAGATTTGTCTCTATCTGAGGGTACCCGAAGCGAATGTTTTCAGATTGTGGGTCTGCTGGTGAAATTTTGCACAATATCAAAAAGAAAAATTCCTTAAGACAAAGATTGGAAAAATCTCTCAGTGATTATCTCCGCCGCAAGTTTAATAAAACTCTCAGAGCTACAATCAAGCTTATGATAAAAATCAGCCAATCCAACTACATTTCCTCCCTCTGCACAAATATCCAAACCAATTCCAAACGTTTCTGGTCATTATTTAAACTAACAGGAGCAACACGTTCTGTCCCGGAAAAATTTCAATAAAAACGAGTGTCGACAATGTCCGTGAATCATGCCAAGAATCTTATGGACATCGCAACACTTTTCAACTGCTACTTCGTATCAATCTTTTCGAGTGATCCTATCAATATTGTTAATCAACAATCTATATCCGACACCACTGATACTATTTTCAATGACATTATTTTGTCGGAAGGAACAGTGCGCTCAGTTTTAAGAAACATCGATAACAACAAAGTGCATGGTCCAGATGAAATCCCAACATTCAGCAAGATTATTTACTGAAACTGCATATCAAATCGCACCATCTCTATGCCTTTTGTTTTTAACAAGTCCTTAAAAACTGGAATATTACCTCGAGAATGGAAACTTGCCAATGTTGTACCCATTCACAAAAGGGGGGATAAAGATCATGTAGAAAATTATCGGCCAATCTCTCTTCTCTCTCTTGTCTCCAGCGTATTTATTGGCATGAAAGAACATGCTTTCATAATTTAAAAATGAAAATTAAAGCCCAGCAAATGACTTTTTCTCTTTGCTGGGCTTTAATTTTCATTTTTAAATTACGCTTTCCACCCGGTGTATCAATCGCTACTGTTTTAACATGCTTTCAGTCAAACAATTCTTGCCAACACGGCATTTCCAGAAAATCATGCGTGACACAACTATAATTGAAGTGTTAGATACTATCGGCAGCCAATTAGATCTCGGAAAGCAGATTGATGTGATCTACCTGGATATGTCAAAAGCATTTGATAGGGCTAATCACGTACGTGACGTACGTCTTCTACATCGTCTCAGAGAATTTGGATTCGGAGAAAATCTTTTAATGTGGCTTGATTCTTACTTGAAAAATCGCCGACAACAAACTACTGTTCTCGGTGCAACATCGACAGCACTACCAGTGACATCCGGAGTACCACACGGTTCCATTCTTGGTCCGCTACTTTGCCTTTTATATACCAATGATCTATCCTCTTCCATCGTGAATTCGAACGTAGCAGCTTTCGCTGATGACACTAAGCTTTTTAAAGTGATTAACTCCAGGACCAATGCAATGTTATAAAATGACCTTCTCAACTTTAATTCCTCCTCATCCAATGCTGGTCTGCATCTTAACACATCAAAATGTAAAACCCTCCAGGTCACCAGGAAATACAACAAAATAGATTTCCCTCATCAACTACAAGATACCGCACTAGAAAAAACTGATTGCGAACTCGATTTAGCTGTATGGACGAATTACGATCTCACTTGGTCAGAGCAAGTTAACACAACAAAGTAACTAGAAAATACATGCATGCAGAAACCCTCGCCTTGCTGACAAAACCATTGTATTTTCCGAACATGAAGTTCTAAAGTAGTTGTCATGGTAACACGATAATTTTTTAAGAATATTCTTACAAATGAAAAATCGCCT